CGCACACACGCACACGCACTCACGCACGCAGGCACACACGCTTACACGCACAACACACACACACACGCACACACGCACACACGCACACACGCGCACACGCGCACACGCGCACACACACACACTCTTAAACACGCATACCCGCGAACGCGCACACCCGCACGCGCACACGCACACACGCGCACACGCACACGCACGGACACACACACACACACACACAATAACACACACAGACACACACGCGCACACACACACACACACACACGCACACACGCACACACGCACACGCACACGCGCACACCCTCACCCGCACACCCGCACACGTGCACAATCCACACGCACACACGCCCGCACACCCGCACACACGCACACACATACATACACACACACACACACGCACGCACGCACGCACGCACGCACATACACACACTCACACGCACGCACACACACACACACACACTCACGCACGCACACACACACACACTCACACACACACACACTCTTCCACACACGTACAATTGCACACCCATACGCACACGACCCCCCCCCCACCACACAGACACAGACACAGACACAGACACAGACACAGACACAGACACAAACATACATACACACGCACATACGCACATACACACTCAACACACACGCACACACACACACACCCACGCGCACACGCCACACGCACAACAACACGCACGCACACACGCACACACGCACACACGCATACGCGCACGCACACGCGAACACGCGAACACGCGCACACGCGCACACGCGCACAATCCCACACCAGCACACGCATGCACGCACACACGCACACACGTACGCACGCACACCCGCACACATGCACACTCGCATATACACACACACTCACACGCACGCGCACGCGCACGCGCACGCGCGCACACACACACACACACACACTCACACACTCACACACTCACATACACACGCACACCCACGCACACACTCACATGCGCACACACATAAACACACATACACGCAGACCCTGTCAGCCTCCCTGGACTCCTGCTCCCAGCTGTCACTTTTCTGCCACTGTCCTCGAAACGCGAAACCAGAGCCGCCTGCTCTGGCGACGGGGCGCGCCGCTTTCGCGCGGAAGCGGGCCCGCCGCTAGTGCACGCGCGTGATAATCCATGCTCGCGTTTGCCGCTCATTCCTGGAGCTGCCCCAGCACCTCCTCCCAACTCCCGCGCCCTCTGGCACACAAATCGTTCCTCCTCGCTGCCCCCCTCCTTGTACGGTTTCCCCCGGGGCCGTAGGCGACCCGAGGAGGAGGAGGAGGAGGAGATGGAGGAGGGGGAGAGGGAGGAGGAGATGGAGGAGGAGGAGGAGGAGGAGGAGGAGGAGGAGGAGGAGGAGGAGGAGGAGGAGGAGGAGGAGGAGGGAAGGAGGGAGGAGGGAGGAGGGAGGAGAGAGGAGGAGAAGGAGGGAGAGAGGAGGAGGAGGAGGAGGAGGAGGAGGGAGGAGGAGGAGGAGGAGGAGGAGAGGAGGAGGAGGAGGAGGAGGAGGAGGAGCGGAGGAGGAGGAGGAGGAGGAGGGAGGAGGAGGAGGGAGAGAGGAGGAGGAGGAGGAGGAGGAGGAGGAGGAGGAGGAGGAGGAGGAGGGAGGAGGGAGGAGGGAGGAGGGAGGAGGGAGGAGGGAGGAGGGAGGAGGGAGGAGGAGGGAGGAGGAGGAGGAGGAGAAGGAGGAGGAGGAGCAGGACGGGTCGCCCAGGCCCTTCGGAGAAACCCTCCGCCCCTCCTCGCCCGCAGACATCCCGCGCCCCGAACTGCTGCGTGCGTGGGCCACCTGGCCCCTCGAGGCCCGAGGCCCAGCCCTGCTCTCGTCGAGGCGCCAGCTGCCCCCGGCGGGTGCGTCTTCCGCTCGGCTCGCCTTATAAGCGCCCTGTTTGTCTATAGCGTTTTCTGCTTTGGAGCTCTTGACAGGCTGAAGACGCTAAAAACAACGCTACATGTTTGACGCGTTTTTAGGGCAGTTGTTGTGGCGTTGTTTTACCGTTCGTTTTGGCGTTTTCAGGCTGATAACGCTAAAACGACGATTGAAAATGCTAAAACAATTCATCATTGTTTTGGCGTTTTTATTTTTCGTTGAGACCTGAAAACACTGAACAACTGATTTCCAAGACGCCGAGCTGAACACGCAAAAAAACGCCCTGGACATATTTTATGCGAACCAAAATATTCCGGCGCCTTAGCCCGTGTCTGCTGGAGGCGGCCAAGAGACCTGGATGCCCCCTTATTCAGTACCTTCGGTGGCAACTCATGGTGGGAGCCTCCCATACCATCTTGTCGGCTCTTGCGAATCGACGCTGATCGACACCAGTGGGCGCTAATCGACGCCAAGTCGACGCTCATCGACGCCAGCCGACGCTAAATCGGCGCTACCTCGTCGACTCCCAGGCGCGGATCGACGCACGAAAGACGGAATGCAGAGGGCATACCGGGCTCCCATGACTTGCTACCGAAGAGTCCACCCACCTCGATCGCGCCGAGCATCGATGGGAGCGCAGTGGACCCAGCCCTCAGCCAGCCCGCCCCCTCCCTGGCGTGAGCAGGGGCCGACCGCCCCGGCATTCCTATAGTCCTACCACGAAATGTTCTTAGAACCCAAACATGTTCTAAGAACAAAAACAAGGTTCTTAGAACATAAACCCGATATGGTAAAGCAAGACAGCCCCAGCCAGACATGTTCTAAGCACATGTCGTGGGAACCTCCAAAGGTTCTTAGGACATTGTTCGGTACACCCTGCGAAATGCTTAAGAAATCATGGGTTAAGAAATTCATGGTCTCAGAAAGTGAATAAAACCCAGAACTTCTATCAACACATCTTGGGATTTACATTGAAAACTTAAGAATAATCGAGACTTTGGGCGAAAACTTAGGTTTTCTTAAACATCGCCTAAGGTGTAGGGCTTTATGCGAGCCGGGACGCTTCGCCACTGCTTGGCTGGCGCTGTCACCGAGCGGGGCAGCAGGCCGTCCACCTCGGAGGCGGCCGCGGGCGTCGGAACCGGAAAACAAACATCTGTCAGGAGAGGGGGCGGGAGGCCAGATCCACTCCAGATCGACCCCTGGCCTTCACCTTGCGAAATGCTTTAGAAATCATGGGTTAAGAAATTCATAGTCTCAGAACTCGAATAAAAACCCAAAAGTTCCATTCAAATCTTAGGATTTACATTGAAACGTTAAGAATAATCGAGACTCTAGCCGAAAATTTTAAGTTTTCTTAAGCATCGCCTAAGGTGTTGAGTCGGGCCTGTCCCCCTACAGGGGGATTTTGGACGAAAAATGAAAATAGTAGAAACATGCAATAAAATATTCCAAAATGGTCAAGAGATCGTCCCCAGACTATTCATGGATTATTTTTGGATATTCCTCCTGTAGAGGGAAAGGCCCGCCTTAAGCCTGGCCTGCAGTCCATCGTCGGGGCTCAAGAGACGGGGGTCAGTGCAAATGGGGGCCACTGGCGGCGCGCACCAGGGGGTGGAGGGAGGGGGGAGGGCTTCTTAGAAGGAGGCTGCTTCTTAGAAGGTGCCAGCCTCACATCTATAGAGAAGGCCCGCGCCTTCTAAGAAGCAGGGGTGCTTCTAAGAAGTCCTCGCCCCTCCCCCCACCCACCTCTGCGCGTGGCTGAGGTCAGCCAGAGCGCCGGACCTTGCAGGATCCTTCAAGGCCAGGGCGCACTGACCCAGTTTTGGGTGCAGGATCCTGCGAGTGACCTGGGTCAAGGCGTCCCCGTCATCTGGTGCAACTTTCCACCCTGGGCCCGCTTCTGACGGCCCCAAGACCCGAAATCTGACCCCGGAGGCCGGCAAGGGTCAACAAAAACCGTCCCGAACTGAGAAACTCGAACCTGCCGCCATTCCTGCTGGCCAGGACCAGTGCTGGGCCACCTCAGACCGACACGTTTCCTCAAAGGTCGCCAGTGGAAGGGACTTCTGAGACCGCGGCGTTGCATTTGAGACTTGGAAAAGTGCGAGAGAAAGTGTCATGTGGCGACCTTGTGGGCGAAGCTGAGCGGACTTGAGAAATCGGCATCGCCCGTCACAAAAGTCCCTTTCCCTGGGGTCCCCTTGTCAGCGGCGAGCGAGGGGGGGAAATCAGAAGGAGAAGGCCTTCCCAGGAGGCGGCGGGACTCCTCAGAAGCCCTAGCGCCTTCTGAGAGGTTGTCTGCGCCTGCGGGGAAGCCTTGGGAAACTTCTCAGAAGGGGCTGGGCGACTCCCGAGCACTCTGAGAAGGCCCGCCCCTTCTCGCTTCCCCCCCTCGCTCGCCCCCGACTTTGGCAACCACATGGCAGACTCTAGCCGGAGCCCGTCCAGCCAATCCCGCTTCTCGGGCGTTCCCCGATTGGGGGGGCGATAGATGGGGGGGAGAAAGAAAGGTGCACCCTTCGTGCACCTTCCGTATCTCTTCAGGGCCCCATAGGGGGCTCGTTCAGGGCCCCTTTAGCACCCCTTTCGTGCAACCCTCGACGCCCCCCCCCAATTATAATCGCCCCCCCATTACCGACCGCCCGAGCTCCCCTCTCCGCCCCCCGGGCCAGGCGGCCGGCTGGCGCCTCGTCGCGCTCCCGCTTCCGCTTGTCGTCGTCCCTGCCCCTGTCCGCGGACCGGCCCCGCTTCGTGCCCCGGTCCTCCTTCTCGTCCCGCTTCTCGTTGGCGGTGTCCTTGTTCTCCTCTGCCCGCCGCACGCTCGAGGCGCGACCGGTCCCCCCCTGGGCGGCTCGCGACCTCCGCCCCCTCTTTCGGCCGCGTGCTCCTCCCGCTCCCCGTCCATGCGTGGTGGCACAGATTTGCCCTATCACGGCACCTCCGTTTAGGCCTTTCCGCCAGCGCAGACCTCCCCTGCCTCGCCGCCGACGCGCAAAAGCTCTCCTCCTCTGGGACCGCCGAAGGACAGGGGTCAGAAGGGGGTTGGCGTATCATCGCCCGAGGCCACCGTTCATTGCACCGACCTTGCAGACGTGCTGCAGCGGATTTTTGCATGGATTTCTGTCATTGCAAAACTCCGAAACGGCGAATGAAGACCGAAATGAATTTCGCGTGGATTTTTGTTTACTCTTCATTCTCGGCCAAGAAGGTCCGCACGAAATTCACCTCGAAATCTGGAACGAACTTCTCCGGGGCACTCCGGGTCCATCCTATCGTTTTCCAAACGATCTCCGCTCTGCGAGGTTGGCGCCATGACATCGTGGCCCGAGGCATGTCCCAGACCTCCGAAGGTCTGATTTTTCCTAACCATCTTGTGGTGTTGGGTCCTCGTTTTGAAGAGAAGGTCCCCGCGTCTCCTCCTCCTCCTCCTCCTCCTCCTCCCCCTCCTCCCTCCTCCATGCGTTTCACCCACCCAGCCCAGCGTGTCGTGGCCCCACAGGGAGCTCCACCGAAGGCCCCAGTGGGGGGTACCACAAGTGTCCGCCACACCCAGTACAGCGCTTCGTGGCCCCATAGGGAGCTCCACCGAAGGCCCCAGTGGGGGGTACCACAAGTGTCCGCCACACCCAGTACAGCGTTTCGTGGCCCCACAGGGAGCTCCACCGAAGGCCCCAGTGGGGGGCACCACATGCGTCCGCCACACCCAGTACAGCGTTTCGTGGCCCCATAGGGAGCTCCACCGAAGGCCCCAGTGGGGGCATTTTGGCTCAAGCGGTCGCATGCCGCGCCTCCGCCTCGGCCGTCCGCCTCGGGATGGCTGGCCTGGGCGCGGCTAGAGGGGCTTGCACGGCCATGGACCTCGCGCTGCTGGTGCGCGCGGCGGTCCGCGGGGCCGTGGACGCGGGGGCTCCTCGGCGCACTGTTGCTGCGGTGGCGCGCTCCGCGCTGTCGGCGGCTGCCTTCGCGGCAGGCGCCGCGGCGCGGCCTGCGCCTGCTGTAGCGGCTGCGCCTCGGGAACCCAACGACACCAAGAAGGAGCGACGCCGCAGGCGGCGGGCGAGGCTGGCGGCGCGGCGCGCTGCGGCTGGTGCTCCCCCTGGGGCGGAGGCCCCTGCCGCGGGCGCGGCGGGCGTGGCTGGCGCTCCTGGCAAAGTGAAGGTCGGGGAGATGCTCTCCGCGGAGGCGTTCCCGCTGGTGGGGCCCGCTGGGTCGGCAACAGCGACGGCGACGACGACGCGATGGGCGGATCCCTGGGCGACGAGTGGGCCGACGGCCTGCCTCCTCGGGCCTCTTGGGGCTCGCGGAGGAGGCGGGGCCGGCGGCGGGCGCTGCCGGAGGAGGCTGCTCCGGGTGCAGCGGCGGCGGCGGCGGCAGGCGCGGGCCTCGGCCCGTCTGCCGAGGCGGCGGCGGCTTCCCTGGGGCTCCCTCTGGCCGCGCTGGGGGCGGCGGGGGCGGCGGCGGGTCCCCTGGAGGCGGTGCGCGCCGCGCTGCCCGTCGGCGGGCTGGCGGCTCTGGACTCCTTCGAGGCGTGCCAGGGCGTGCGGGCGGCCGCCGACGACGTCCTGCTCCGCGCGCAGCCTCCGCCGTCGGAGGCGTTGCGCGAGGAGCTCCAGCGCATGCTGGACCTGAGGTGCTCCCGCACTAGGCCCTCGCGCTTGCGGGGGCGCCGCCCCTTCGGGGGGTCTAGGCCCCGCTCCGCCCTACCCTTCGGCGGTGGGGCTCGGCCTGGCGGCCGCCGCGCTTGGCGCTCGGCGGCATCGCTGGCCTCGCGGGCGGCGGCGGGCCCCGCCCTTGGCGCGGGCGGCCGCGGCGCCCTCCCTCGGCGTCCTCGGCCTCGCGTTCGCGGTCGTGGACGGCCAGGGCCTGCTGCTGGCTGGCGCGTCGGCGGGAGGGCGTGCGGGGCCGAGCGCCGCGCTCGGCCAGCCTGCAACTAAAAAAAAGGCCCCGAGTGGGGGTGGCTACACCCTGCGAAATGCTTTAGAAATCATGGGTTAAGAAATTCATAGTCTCAGAATTTGAACAAAAACCCATAATGTCCATTCAAATCTTAGGATCTACATTGAAACGTTAAGAATAATCGAGACTCTGGCCGAAAACTTTGGTTTTCTTAAGCATCGCCTAGAGTGTACATGCGTCCGCCACACCCAGTACAGCGCTTCGTGGCCCCATAGAGAGCTCCACCGAAGCCCCGAGTGGGGGTGGCCACATGCGTCCGCCACACCCAGTACAGCGCTTCGTGGCCCAGCAGGGAGCTCCACCGAAGCACCTAGTAGGAAGGACCGTCCGCATGTGTCCCGGAAGCCCAAGTTGGCCTTTTCACCCACCCAGTACAGCGTTTCGTGGCCCCATAGGGAGCTCCACCGAAGCCCCCAGTGGGACCGCCCACATGCGTCCCACTCACCTAATTTGGCAGTTTCACCCACCGAGAACAGCGTTTCGTGGCCCCATGGGGAGCTCCACCAAAGCCCCCAGTGGGACCGTCCGCATGCGTCCCGCACACCTAATTTGGCATTTTCACCCACCCAGTACAGCGCTTCGTGGCCCCATTAGGAGCTCCACCGAAGGCCCCAGTGGGGGTGGCTACATGCGTCCAGGACACCCACTTTGGCATTTTCACCCACCCAGTACAGCGTTTCGTGGCCCCATTAGGAGCTCCACCGAAGCCCACAGTGGGACCGCCCGCATGCGTCCCGTAAGCCCAAGTTGGCCTTTTCACCCACCCAATATAACATTCCGTGGCCCCATTAGGAACTCCACCGAAGCCCCCAGTGGGACCGTCAGCATGCGTCCCGGAAGCCCAAGTTGGCATTTTCACCCAACGAGAACAACGCTCCGTGGCCCCAAGGGAGCTCCACCGAAGCCCCCAGTGGGACCGTCAGCATGCGTCCCGGAAGCCCAAGTTGGCATTTCCACCCACCCACTACAGCGTTTCGTGGCCTCATAGGGAGGGAGCTCCACCGAAGCCCCCAGTGGGACCGTCCGCATGCGTCCCACACGCCCAATTTGGCATTTTCGCCCGCCCAGTACAGCGTTTCGTGGCCCCATAGGGAGCTCCACTGACGGCCCCAGTGCTACCGCCCGCATGCGTTCCTCCCCACCCAGTGCACCGCTTCGTGGCCCCATAGGGAGCTTCACCGAAGGAGATATTCAAAACTGCGGTACCCACAACTGCATATGGTTGGGTCCTTCGCAAGGATAATTATTCAATCCAAGTGCTGTCCATCGATTCCGACCACTGGGGCTGCCATCGAGCCCTGGGGCCAGCAGAAGAGGATGCGGGACGAAAACTACCCCTCGGGAAGCTAAAAGATCGGGACCTTTGGGGGCGCGCATTGAAACAATCACCATGGACTTTCGGAGCTTCGCGCGGATGTCCTGGACCGCCACTGGATGCCCTCCTCCCCTCTGGAGCGCGGAGCGCGCCAGGGACTGCGCTGGAGGTGCTGCCAGAGGGGCCCAGCGCCGAGCCAGGGAATCCGCGCGGACCTCCGAAGCCGCGTCACCAGGCCCCCAAGCAGCTCCCACGACGCCCACAAGGTGCCCACAAGAGCTTCCAGATAGTGGCCAAGAAGCCAGAGACGACTCAACTGTGGACTCCCCGCTCCGTCTGGGGGTCGGCGGAATGGCGTACGCCTCATCGAATCTGATCGGACCGCGACGCTGATGTCCGCAATTTAATAGCAGCATCCGCAAAGAAACCTGGCACCCGACTGACAAGGGATACGTCGACCCCTATCCCAGGCTTCGTGGGGTGTTCGAGCGGACCAAAAGCTTGGAGCCCAACTTGCCCTGGGATATGCGATGGGGGGCGATAGGGGTGCGTCCGAGTAACTAGCCCCCTTGGGGTGCCTCCCAGCACTTACCCAATTTTCTGAGCGGCCAAACCGTTCGGGCGGAGCTCGGGGAGTGGGGTAGACAAATCGCCTGCGAGGATGGGAACCTCTCCTTTGAGAAAAGGGGGCGCGGTGAATACAGTCAACCTGATTGATAAGTTTTTATATATATATATATATATATATAAAAATAGGCAGCTTAGAGGACCTGATTGATAAGGATGCGCGGTAAGGATGCAAGGGCCTTGGAGGGCCATATGTTACAGTTGTCCGAACGAGGTTGGCCAGCGAACGTCGCTGAGGATGGGCCGAAGGGGCAAGGATGCAAGGGTACCCTTGGGAAGGTTGCCCATCCTTACTATGCGGATTGACTGTAGTCCCCCTCGGCACCCCTCGGCGGGAGGCCTGGTCCAGCACGGCACGGTCTGCCATGGACCCTCTCTCCCCTGCTGTCCCGCTGGGCCAGGGGAGGACGCCTTGCCTTGTCCTGTTCTCGCCTGTGAGCAGAAAAAGGGGCCGAACTGCTCGGGCGGAACTCGGGGATCGGGGGAGAAATGCGTTCTCTCGCAAGGAAGAACTGGGGAGACCGAAAGGTACCGATACCGCTACTCCCCAGACCTCTCTCGGGGTGCGTCCTGACCAGGACTTCGAGGCGAATCCAGCGGTGGCGACGAGGGAGGCCCAGGAGGCGAAAAAATGAAAAAACGGGCGAAGATAGAGGTATGGGTACCTTCTCCTCCTCTGAAGAACACCTGGGGCCAAACTCCTGGGAAGAACACCTGGGGCCAAACTCTTCGGGCGGAGCTCTGGGGTACCCGGGGGGAGGAGAGCAAAGCCGCCCGCGACCGACGGCGCCCCTCGGGCGCCAGCCCGACGGCCCGTTCCCTTCTGCCCCGTGGCTTCGGTCCCGCAGAAGGTGAAGGGGCCCTGGGACACACAAATAAATAGACACAAATAACAGGATTCCCCATATTTTCCTATATGTTCACGGTTCTCGTCTTCCCCCCCACTTCCCATATTTTCCCATATTTTCCTGGGAGTCGACGATTAATTGTGTCTGTGTGTTTTTTCCCCTCCCGAGAAGGGGGGGGGGGGCGTGGGGCCCCGGCGTCTCCGGCGACGCGATCGCTGCTCCATCCGTGCCGTCGTCTCTGGACGTCGGTCTCCTCCTCTTCCTCCCCCTCCTCTTTTGACGTTCGGTAGGCTAACGTGAGAAACTAGCCTGTCGCGCTCTCTCTCTCTCTCTCTCTCTCTCAATCCCTCCTCACCTTATAGATAACTTCTCCCTGTCGCACCCCGAGGCCAGTTTTTAGGGCCGGCAGGGCGTTTCGCCTGAGACTTCCTCACCAATTATGGCTCTGAAGCTTCAACAATGAAAAAAGTTTCACAGATCAAGGACGGATGGTTTTCAAAATGTGGCTCTCGCCTTAGCTCCGCGCGCACACGCTTTCACAAGTTTCAAGAATTTCACGGATTGAGGGCGGGTCGCTTTCAAAATGTGGCTCTCGCCTGAGCGCCGCGCACATTCGTTTTAAACATTTGCAAGAATTTCACGGATTGAGGGCGGGTCGTTGTCAAAATATGCCTCTCGCCTGAGCGCCGCGCACTTTCGGTTTTTTTTAACATCTGCAAGAGTGTCACGGATTCTCATGATCAACGTACCAGAAATGGCCTTTGGGAGAGATGCCGGATTATAGTCAACCCGTACAGTAAGGATGCGCGGTAAGGATGTAAGGGCCTTGGACGACCTTGCCGAGGCTCTTCGGGCGGGGCTGGCCTTCGAAAGTGGTTAAGGATTGGCCGAAGATGACCGACGAGGCAAGGATGCAAGGGTACCCTTGGGAAGTCGCTCATCCTTACTGTGCTGGTTGATTGTACGAGGGTGCAAAAACTATATGTTGATTCGAGATTGACTCGAAGTGCTGAAGATTATGTCGACTCGAGGTGCTGGCAGTCCCTCCCAAAAAAGGGCTCGCCCACTTCTCTGGGACCCGCCTGCGGGCCCAGAGGCCAGGCAGATCTGCCACCGGTCAAGAGCACCAACCCGGGGGAAGGCGCCGGGGCCTCTGGGGCCGCGCGCGTCGGATCAGATGTCTGGCTCCTCCTCCTGCTCCTGGATCCAGCCTCTGAGAAGAATAGGGGAAAGAACAATGACATACATAAAAATCCAGAGGTCCGCGCGTTTTGTTTGGATCCGCGCTGGACCCCCCCCTCCTTGGCACGCGGAGCGCGCCAGGGACGGCGCCGGAGGCGCCGCCAGGGGGGTCAAGCGCGGATCCGAGAAATCTGCGCGGACCTCCGAATTGTTATGTTTATGTCATGGCTCGCTTCCCTGAAGAATTCACGAGCGGAATGTATCAGCACGTAGAGCCCCGCAGTTGCGGATATGAGTAGTCAAGGGGGCGGCGGGGCGGCGGCAGTCTGCGAGGCTCTGAAGAAGCCCGCCGCAGGCGTCTAGTTTTTTAAAACATTACACAACGAGCCCGCCGCAGGTTGTTCTTTTTCGTTGCAACAACGTGGGTGGGTCGCGGGGTGGCTCGCAGATGGGTCGCGGGTAGGTCGCGGGCCACATCGCAGCTGGGTCGCGGGTGAGTCGCGGGTGTGTGGCGGGTGGGTCCCGGGTGGGTCGCGGGTGGGTCGCGGGCGAGTCGCGGGTGGGTCGCGGGGTGGGTCGCGGGTGGGTCGCGGGTGGGTCGCGGGGTGGGTCGCGGATGGGTCCTTTGGCAGATTGCGCGCGGCTGGCGCAACAACAACAACAACACCAACACCAACAGCAACAACAACAACAACAACAACAACAACAATAGCAACAGCAACAGCAACAGCAACAGCAACAACAATAGCAGCAGCAGCAGCAGCAGCAACAGCAACAGCAACAGCAACAGCAACAGCAGCAGCAGCAGCAACAGCAACAGCAACAGCAACAGCAACAGCAACAGCAACAGCAACAACAACAGCAACAGCCACAGCAACAGCAACAGCAACAGCAACAGCAACAGCAACAGCAACAACAACAACAACAACAACAACAACGGCAACAACAACAACATGATCAACAACAATCCGCACCGCATGACTCCAGCCACGTGCCCAAGGACAGTGACTGACCCTTCGGCCCCCTCACTCAGACCTACGCTCTCGCGGCCTGGATTCTGGGGCGCGACCCCGTGGATGCGCGGTCGCATGGATATATGCCTTCTGCGCGGGGCATCCTCAGGAAGACGCCCCGCATCCGCGGGGTCGCGGCCAGGGGGTCCTGGCCTGCTGCCCATCCTCCTGCTCATGGCTCCTCTCCCCTGCCTGCTGCTCGTGCTCCCTGGTAGGAAAGCACCAGCTATATGCACCGACACCGATCCAGGCCAGGCTCATATTCCGGGGCCCGAGGTCGGTGTCGATGCAGCCCTGCCCAAGCCAGGAGGACACGTACACCGAGCCTGGGCCCGAGCCTGGGCCTGGCGAGGACCAGTGCAGGTGTGCAATGGTGCCCTCCTCCTCCTCCTCCGCCTCCGCCTCCGCCTCCGCCTCCGCCTCCGCCTCCGCCTCCGCCTCCGCCTCCGCCTTCGCCTCCGCCTCCGCCTCCGCCTCCGCCTCCGCCTCCGCCTCCGCCTCCGCCTCCGCCTCCGCCTCCTCCTCCTCCTCCTCCTCCTCGTCCTCCTCCTCCTCCGCCTCCTCCTCCTCCTCCTCCTCCCTCCTCTCTCCTCTCTCCTCTCTCCTCCCTCCTCTCTCCTCGGCCGCGGGGCGCCTCAGTTCGCATGTCAAAGTGCAGGTGGTGCCCTCCGACTCCTGCTCCCGAGCCCTCTGGTCTGAGGGGGAAGGAGGGGCTGGGACTGGGCGGCAGGAAGTAGGGGGAAAACAAACCTACCTCGCTTTTGACCACCCTCGCTTCCAAGAGATACCAAACGATGCCAAACTACGGCCTGTACTGGTCAGGCCGCTTGACGAGGAGGCGCGTGGTATGACTTGGTTTTGCCTGGAAGCGAAAGCGGGGGAGGTATTTCACGCTCTGAGGAAGGGAAGTGTTCGGCCGCAGCGTCCTTGGAGTCCGCGTCCGCCTTCTCGGCCCCCTTCTTGGCTGCCTTATCGCCATCCTTGTCCTCCGCCGCGGAGTCCAACTTTATCTCGGGATGCGCCCCTTCCGCTTCCTCCTCCGACTCCTCTACCTCCTCCTTCTCCTCATCCCCGCTCTTCTACGGTTTTATGGAGCTATGCGAGAACATCTGGTGCTAGCACAGCAGTCTGCCCAGGCGACCGCGGAGAGGTTACGACGGATTCGCTGGATCGCCCATCACCCCGAATGGGCGGTAGGCTTCTGGTCCTCATCGCACCCCACCCCCAACCATCCCCACTCCACCCATTCGTAGACGGCCTTGCAACGCAGGGTGCGCAGCAGCTCATGCAGAGGATAGGGGAGGGCGAATTGGAGCGATGAAGGGAAAAGAGGACGGGGAGAAGTGGGCAGGCGCCGTGGGCTATCCTAAACGTCCCCGCGCCATTACGGCAGATGCCTGGGAAATCAGCTCCTGCGTCCTCGCCCTCCTCACGCTCCCTCCTCCTCGCTCCTCCTCGCTCCCCCTCCTACTTCTCCTCCTTCTCCTCCTTCTCCTCCTCCTCCTCCCTCCTTCCTGTCCCTCGACCGGCCCCGCCTCGGGGTAGCCCTTGTTCTTGGCCGCCAGCAGGTCCGCGAGCTCCTTCTCGACGGCCTTGTTCTCCTCCTTCAACATCGCCTGCCGGGGGGCGGCCGTGGACCAAGCCGGGCTGCGGCGGGCACAAATGCGGCCCGCGCCCCACGGTGTTCCGCTGGGGAGGCCACGTAGCTGCGCAGCAGACGGGGATGAGATCGGGGCCGCGGGGCAGAGAAACGATGCGAGGGTCGCGAATGGATGAGGGTGCGCGGGTGGGTCCGCAAGCTGGCAGGCAGGGGGACGCACAGAGATAGGCATAACCGGGCAGCGCCAGGCGGATGGTAGACAGAGACACACGTATGCATACACGTGCATACATAAGTATGCACGCATACTCACAACGAGACGCTTGCATACACATATATATATATATATGTATGTATATAACATACATATGTGTATACACAGCATGTAAGAGTCCAGGACGCACAGATTTATGCAATGGCACATCGACAGGGAGCGAACGAAAAACACCCAGAGACAAAGAAGAAGAGATAACGATACAGATGCAGACGCTGGCGCGGACAGCCACCCGCAGACAATCAGAACAGAGGTATCGAGGGAGACATAACTGTATATATATATATAACACAGAATAACCGAAGCGAGCAAAGACGCACTCAAGAGATAACGCGAAATTGCGGGACATAGAAAACTGGGAAGGAAGACAACACTGTACATGCATACGTGTATATATATGTATATATTCATATACTTGTACACACATACATCTATTTATATATGTATACAAGACTGCAAGGGCGCTTCGCGCCATGTACCTTGGTCCGTGAAGTTCGGCATGCAGGCGGAATAACAGGAATGCCACGCCGACAATTTAGCGATAACTCCTGGTTGCCTTGTCTGGCATCGCCACTATGATAATGTTATTCGTTATCCTTCCTCCATGCTTCTTTTTCCTTATTTTCGCCATGCCCTGCGCATTCTCCCCATCCTCCTCAGCTCTTTTTTGCGGAGGCTCCTCCTTGGAGAGCCTCTAGGGGCCTCACAAAAGTTGTTTCAGGCTTTCTTAAAGCCTTCTGGAGACCTCCTGAGCGTATTCTGGGGGCCTCCGGGGGCTTCCTCGGGCCACCCTGCCTCCAACAGCGGTCTCCCTGAACGACCGAATTACAATCTGGAATTCTTCGGAGGGTGTCTTTGGGCCATCTTGGGCCGCCATGGGGCTCTCTGAGGGCCATCTTGGACCCGTGTTGTGCCGTTTTGGGGCTCTCTTGGACTGCCTGGAAGCCGAAAAGAGGAAAACCCTAAAATTCACCAAAAACCAACAGAAAATCAATGATTTGTGCCTCGGGGGGCCTTCTTGGGAGTGCTCTTGGAGGCCTCTTTGGGGCCGTCCTGGAGGCCTCTTGGGCCATCTTGAGGTCACGTCGGTCACTCTTGGAGCGCTCTTGTGCTGTCTTGGGGGTCTCTGGGACGTCTCCGATGACCCCCCTGATCGCCCTAGGTGTGCTGGAAAAACGCCATGTGAGGCCCGGTGGCCGCTTCGAGGCCCGTTTGGAGGGTCCCAAAGCCCCAGATCCCGGGAGTCCGTTTTTTTTTTGGGGGGGGGGTGACGGGTTTTCCCCCCGCCCGGGCTTATAAAAATATAGGAAGAGGTGTGTATATGTATGTATGTATGTATGTATGTATGTATGTATATATATATGTAATCAAACGCCGGCTCAAACACAGGCACGGACATACTCTCATGCACTTGTACAATTCAAAGCAGACGGATACATAGAAACAAACCCCTTCGTACACGCACGCACATATTACGTCATAGACGCCCCCTCGGCAATTTGGGCACACATCTGGGTTTGCATACGCACATATATACATCAACTATAGATTCGACAATGAGTCTGTCCACATGCATATCGATTCACAGATTTGTGTATCGGTGTACATACATACCTATGTAGAAATACAAAACGATGTATGTGCACATATATAGCGATATGCCCATGTATGTCAAAGTCTTCCGTCGCATGTCAATCTATCGAAATTCCACCCACTCCACCTGTACACGCATCTACGTATAAACAAACACATGCAGGTGTACACATCTGGACATATATATATATATAGATAGGTAAATATACATATATAAGTACAGGTATCGTCAAACGTACACACACTATGTGTAAATATGGCTCACCGATCGGTCTGAATTATCAGCTTCACTAGTTTTATCCCCGCCGATATCACTATCAATCGATTTGTCGATCCTCACTTATATCTGCTGTTGCGGGCTGCTGCGTATTTTCCCACATGCCTCCATAATGCCTCAGATCCGCTCCGAGGCGGCTCCAAGTGGCCACGGAGCTTCCCAAGAAGAGCCCCCAGAGGCTCCCAAACAGAGCCAATAGGTTCCGTAGAGAGACCCAAGATGGACTCCAGATCGTCAACGTCGTCGTCGCCTCTCAGGGGCGGCGGCACCGGCCGTACGGCCTTCCCGAGACTACTAATGAAGTTACAAATAACAAAACAACGCACACACACCACACGAGAACGCACTCGCAATTACAAACCCATGCGACCACATACACGCAAACGTACACCACTACACGCATAGACAAGAGCACCACCTGACACATCGATGCATATAGACACAGGCACTTGGCGCGCACGCACATGCGCACATACATGCATATGTACAAAAACCGACTGGAGCCCACATAACGGTGACATCGCGCTTTGTTCGAGCGTAAGCATGCACACAATGCGCACACAACCCAAACGCAACCCACACAACAGGCAAACACACAACCACACAACACACATGCAACAAACGCACTCACACCACACACGCACACTACACACAACAACACCGCACACACATACGTACACACCGCGTACAAAACAACGCACGCACAACACACACACAACCCACCACGCATCGCGCAGGCTCGCGCGCAAGACGCAGCGTTCTATAGTGGGCCACTGCGATGCAGGACCAGCGGCACTCTTCAGTGCAAGCGGGGCATCGAACTACAGGCAGAGGCCCCTGGGAAAGCAGCGCGGACTCGGCGCAGGCAGCGGATCCCCGAGGCAGCGCGGACCACGGCCCCGCTCTGGCCAGCACGGAGCGGGGCAACGTCCGCTGCACACAAAGGCCAGACAAACAAGCAGGACGGCGCCGGGCTCCGAGGGGAGCTGCTCCAGTGTCGCTGGAACCGCCCCAGCACCGACCCGACCACTCAGGACAGAATGTCCACCTCAGAGCTGCACTGATTCAGGGTAGTACTCGGGCCTCGCGGGTATTTCACGGGCGAAGAACGGTATAAAATAAACTTTTTCGCCGTCGGGGACACCTTCCCCAAGGCGGCTGGAAAGTTTATACCCTTACGGTGGCACCGTATGGGTATAAACTTTCCAGCCGCCCAGGGGAAGGTGTCCCCGACGGCGAAAAAGTTTGTTTTATACCGTTCTTCCCCCGCTGAGGTATCACCTGAAGGGGCTCGGCCCACCCGCACGCTGACCAGACCCTCTGCCCGACTCCGATCACAGCGTGATGTGAGCGTAGAGGCGATGGCACACGCGTCAGTGCGTCAACGACGCAGCGCAGCCAGAGGCATGTGGACGACTAGCGGGCAAGCACACGCTTTGGCGCCGCGGCCACGCGCACAACAGCGCGGTGGAGTCAGGCGTGCGGGATCGGCGAACGGGCGGTGCGGCGAAAGGGCGGTGCGGCGGGCACTCAGGCGGCCCAGAGGGCACGCGCAGGGCTCACCCGAATGGAACCAAGCGCGTAAACATGCACTCATACGCATACACATAGACACGCTCTCTCACAACACGTCCAAGACACAACACAAACCATGCGCATCGTATACACAACGCGCGCTATCTGCCTAGACATTGTTGCGAACTGCTGCCGGTCGCCTGGGCACCGCAACATGAGTTGCGCAGCGTACGATACTTTGAAGCGTGAGCTCAGCAGCAGCAACAACCTTCAACTCGAAGAGCCTCAGGCGAGGCGTGCAGCGACAGCAAGAGCTGCCACCGCCAGGACGGAGCGGTCAAATGATAAGCGGAAGCGAGGCGAGGAAGCCATGCGGCGCGACTCGCATTGCAGGGAAGCATGGCGAAAACAAAACTGGGCGAAGAAGGCACACCGCCAGAAAGCAGAAACGGCCATGTAATAGACGTACACAACACACGCCTCACACTCGCAAGCTTGACACACAATCACACACGCGCGACTGCACCATGATGACGACCACCAGTCCTCTGGGCGTAAATGGTTCAAAGAAATCGTTCTCATCTTTCTTCCCCGTTGGGACGGGGTTTACCACTGCTCCGTGTCAATCAACACCCCCTCCGCCACTCAACCAGCGACCGACCAGAAACAGTGCCGACACCCTCCTCCAAAATCACCCCTGCCACAAACAGTTAGAGGCCTCCCAGATTGGGTCCGAGTAGATGGGGTCAATGGATCGCCCCGCATCGCCGATGCATCGGCGATGCACTGGCTATGTACTGGCGATGTACCAGCGACGCCAACGATGCATCGGCGACGTCGGCGTGGAGGAAATCTGGCTCCGCTTCGAGCCGCATCGCCGATGCATCGGCGATGTGGAGCGATCCTCCGACCCCATCTACTCCGACCCAATCTGGGAGGCCTAGATGATGTTTGCATTTGCTCCCCGCAATTACCGATGTTGGCCCCTGCCTATGCTGAGAATTGGGTGCTACTTCTGTCGTGAAGGCCGAGTGGGAGTGACCGAGACAACTTGCGACGTTCTCATTGGGAACCCGACCCCTCACCTAATTACCCCCTCCCTGGGTCTGGATCACACTCCCGTGAAAAATCGCCCAAAAATGGCCTCAACGGGGCCAACTGAGCGACAACCCGTGTTAGCGATGTGTGACCTGATGCCGTCATCTACAATATACAACAAGACAGCTTCCAAAGGGTCCCATGAGATGTTCATGATGACGCCGCACAAAGCCTAGAAGGTCCCCAGAGGCTTCTAAGTTCAATAGTGTTGGCATCCTCGCTTCAGCGTGTGTTTATCTACGTCCCTTTTCCCAACAACTCCCTTGGGTGGGCATCGTTCCTGACTGGGATGCTGGGTATATGCGAGATGCCAATAGGTATAATGAGCTCCGCTACTGTCTACTAGGCTGGCAGAAACCTCAGTTATAGTTCTACGCCTGGCCACGTGGTAGCGAATCCTGCGGGACCTGCAGTTCATGTGGCACGTGGGGGCACACCCGGGAATCCACCGAACCAGACGACAACACAATCAGCAGTCAACAAGACGACTGCGCTGTGGCGCTCTGAGCACTGTGTCTGGCCGCTGCAGAGGAGTTCGACGGTCTCGGGCGCGCGGAAAAAACATGGAATGGCACATGCAAGCATCCAACCAAGGCTGCCCCAGCCTCCAGCTCCTCGTCCGTGAGGGGCCCCTCTTTCTTGTCCCCCTCCTTCTTGTCCCCCTCCTTCTTGTCTCCCTCCTGTCGGGCGCTTCCAGGCAGGTGTCCATCAAGCTGCCGCTACACACGGCAGAAACGCGTGCGCATTTTCCTTGTCGCAGACCTGGCGAGCGGTGTCATTCGGGCCCCTTTTCCACACCGACAGCAAACGCTTCGGGATGGGCGTCGCAAACCACAATTCCAGAAAACTACAAGCCGCGGAACTCACACAGAGAGAGGAAGGAAGAAGGGGAAGGGTATCCCTTCCCTCCTCCTCCGCCTTACTGTGCCTCTGTCCCTTTGGCCGTGCGCATCCCCTGTGCTTCTATTGATTCACCCCCTCCGTCCCTGCATCGCATCGGTCCGCGCTCCACCCCCCTCGTCCCCTGAGCCCTCCACACCTTCTTCCTCGTTTAGCTTTCTTCCCGACGTCCCTCCCTCCCTCCCTCCCCCTCCATCCCTCCTCCCTCCACCACCCACCCTGCTGCACCCCCTCCCTCATTTTGTCTTGTCCTGAGGGAGGCATGTGTTCTCGATACCGCTGTCCACGCAAAAGACTGCGCATGATGCTTGACATATCGCCCACAACTCGGGCGATCCCCTGTGGAGATCCGTCCTCACATACTGCTGTCAACTGCCTGCTGCGACGGACGATGTGAGGCCAGAGTGGACCCCGACCAGAGTCCTGGCTTGCGATGCCTGCGCGCGAACCCTGCGATGCCACGCTGCCTCCAGAGATCGCGCCGTGGCCAAGCGCGAGGAAGCAGCTAGCGCGGGCCCGAGACGCGGCACGCGCTGGCGTGCGCGACGGGGTCAGGCCGAGCAGCCCCTTGCTCAGGCCAAACCCTCCCCTCCCCGTCCTCCTGCTCCTCCTGGCCCGGCGAAGGCTCCTGGAGGCCGAAAACGGCCGAGCACCTCCCGTCGCGACTTGTGTTCACGACGCCAACATGCCTGGGAAGGATGGCGCCGTGATCAGAGCGTGCAGCACAGGGAAGAGCAACACGAACCCGATTCGTTCTTACTCGCGATGACGCCCGTGACTGGCCCCCCTTCTCACCTGGTCAAGTCGAGATTTGCGCCGGCGCCGTGTGCAGGTCAGCACCACCTGAGCATTCCCAGAAACAAATGGTCCGCGATGGCCCTCGCCGAAAAATAACATGCACACGTCCGAGCGATGCCAAGACACCGTAGCCGACCTGCCGATCTTGCTTTCCAGAGGCACGCCTCGGCGGGGTGCAGCTCGGAGCGTGCACCACCTGCAGCGGCTGCGGCCACGCAACGCCCCCGACGAAGTGCCACTTTCTCCTCCTCCTCCTCCTCCTCCTCCTCCTCCTCCTCCTCCTCTTCCTCGTCCTCCTCCTCCTCCTCGTCCTCCTCCTCCTCCTCCTCCTCCTCCTTGTTGTCCTCCTCCTCCCCCCCCTCCCCCTCCTCCTCCTCCCCCTCCTCCTCCTCCTCCTCCCCCTCATCCTCCTTCTCGTCCTCCTCCTCCTCCTCCTTCTCCCCTCCTCCTCCCTCTCCTGTCCTTCCTCACTGGTGAGACGATGGCAGGAGAACGACAATTCGGATCCAGATGCGTCGCTGGGGGTTGCCGTAGGTGCCCCCGGCCCACGGTGCCCCCGACTCTTCGCTCCAGCTTAGAGGCCCACTGGCACCTGGGGCCTCGTGAGGGGTGCTCTGAGTAATCCGTGGGGGCCTCGCCGGAGATCCTGCGGCCACCCCGGGCCGGGGGCACCTCTGGCAACGTCCGAGCTCGGGAATCGCTCAGAACTGGCGGGCCTGGAAACAGTATCGGACGGCGCGGCCGTGTCAGAGCGCTCTCGAGCGCTCGGAGCGCTGTGGAACGACTTACATCCCAGGCCTGCCTGAACTGCTGCATCCGAACCTCACCATCTGCACGAACACCTTGCAAGCACATGCACACTGAACAACAAGCGCGCAGCAAATCACAAGCCCAGCACGGCAGGCAGGAACGACGGCCTCCAGCCGACGGGACCTGGATTGCCTGATGGAGGAGGTGAATCGGTGACAGCCCCCATCGAGCGTAAATCCTAGCAAGTCTGGCCACCCAGGGGGCGGGTCGGTAATATTTGCTCCGATCGTGCTGTTCCGTGGACTGGCAGCGTGGATCAGCGGGGTGGGGCGGTACCTGAATAAGCCACCAGGCGTACGCAACTGACACGACGGAGCATCGGCGATTCAAGTCAGATCAATGACATCATCAGGGTGAGGCGGGAGGAGGCGGGAGAACGACAGGAGGGGCAACAAGAAGCGTCAGCTTGTCGCATCGGCCTGACGCCCAGTCTGCCGCAGCTTCCTCGCACTGTGTCGCAGACGATGGCGAACTAACGGGCCCTTACTTGCCGACAAGCCCCTAAGAATGAAGAAACACCTACTTTCGATTGCCCAACTTAATTTACGTACTCCGACTCGCCCTGCATACTTACGGACTACAAGTTATCACGAAGACACCCTACATAGTCGAAGTGGGCTCAGACAACGTAATTCGTGTAGGAATTAATCTTCTGAGGCTGTCGCTACACTTGTACACATGCCGCAATTCACAATGCGGATTACTGGATCTTTCTCCTCCTCCTCCGCCTCCTCCTGCATAGCGTGCGTGTGTCCTTCTGCCTCTTCTGCATGACCTCCCTCTGGCCGTCCTTCCAGACTGTTATGGTCTGCTTGGCCTGGCCCGGGGAAGAAAGAGAGCTCGGAAGGTGGAGGAGAATGGAGCAGGGAAAGGGTCGACTGGGGGTGTGACGTCACGAGAAGAAGAACATATAAACTTGTGGCGGCGCCCCGAGCGGATTTCTTGGATCTGCGCTGGATCTTTTCATCTGGCGCGCGGAGCGCGCCAGGAGCGGCACCGGAGTCGCCGCCAGGAGGGCACAGCGCGGAGCGCCAAACGTTTAATGTTATGGCGCTTTGTCTGCTCCGAGCCATGACGAGTGGACCAAAAAGGCGCCTGCCTGGTGAGTGCGTCGGGTCTATACGCCTGCTCTGTTTCTTGCTCGCTGTGCCGCCGTCGGACCCTCGGGGATCTCACGGGCCCAGCGGCGCGCCCGGAGCGCATCCTCACGCAGGTCGGGCATGTCCTCCTGGAGGCGGATGTTGGCGGACAAATATTTGAAACGAAACTGGTAAAACAAAAAACTCAAACAACATTGTCAGCGAAGATTCGGAGCATCGTCCCCAGACTCTTCTGTGACCATGCTTGACGACTCCTGCTGTAGAAGGACGTGCCCGACTCAAGCGTATTGCCCCCCCCTGGAGACGTTGCCCCTGATTCTCTCTTAGATTCCGCAACCTGCCGGGAAGGGGCCCGCTTTCTTGGCGAAAACGGCAGGCCAGAGCCCTCTGCACAGCACCTGGCCCCGAGCATGCGCGACCACACGGCGCCGGCGCTCCTGTCGCTCCGCCCGGGAGGAGGAAGAGGTATATCGCGAGGAACAGAGCAAAGGGGCCATCGGACACGCACATCCGCCGACCCTGTCGGCATGTGACAGGGGCTGTTCCGTCGCCATCGTCGTCGCTGCCGCCGTCGCGTCGCCGCCGCCGCCATCACGTCCCCTCCTTCCCCTGAGTCCGTCGCCGCTCTCCCCCCTTTTCTTGGGCCCGCGTCCTCAAGCACGCCAGCCAAAGCGAAATACGCCAGCCCATCCACAGCGAAATGAAGCAACGTTGTCATTGATCCCTTCCTCGCGGACGCGGGGGGTCCGGGGCGGTGGGTGGTCCCGGGGGTGGTCCCAGGTCAGAAAACCACCCTCCCGGGGCCCATGGCCTGCCCTCTCCCTCACGTTTCCGTCGAGGGCCGAGGCCTCCAGGGTCGGTGGCACCGGCCGTAAGGCCTTAGCAATAAATAGGCACAAATCCCACGATCCCCTATATGTTTTATATTTTCTGGTTTCTCGTCTCCCCCCTCACTTCCCGTACTTTCCCGTCTTTACCTGGAGACCGACGATTCATTGTGTCTGTGTTCCCCCCCCCTGAATTGCGAGGAACAGAAGAGCTGCGTAAGCATGAACTTTGGGAGCTCGGCGCAGATTCCTTGGATCTGCGCTGCAGCCCTTTCCCTGGCGCGCCGGAGGAGCCGCCAGGGGCCTCCTGAGCAACGATCCGAGAAATCCCCTCTGAGCTCGAGGGGTTTCTGCTTACGCAGTTCTTGTTGCCTTCTCGGAGGGGAGGGGAGGACGACCAGGCTCTCCAGAGGGCTCCCCAGCTCCGGTCCGAGAAATCCGCGCGGAGCTCGAGGAGTTTCTGCTCTCATGCAGCGCTTGCTCTCTTCTCGGAGGGGGAGGCAGGGACGGTGCGAGGGAGGGAGGGGGGGATGGGGCAGGCAGGCTCGCGTCGCGTCGACCCCCGCGTTGCTTTTGTCCATCTTGAAAGATCGGAGGAGGAGGAGGAGGCGAGGGGAGGAGGAGGAGGAGGAGGAGGAGGAGGAGGAGGAGGAGGAGGAAGAGGAGGAGGAGAGGAGGAGGAGGAGGAGGAGAAGCAGGAGCAGGAGGAGGAGGAGCAGGAGGAGGAGGAGGAGGAGGAGGAGGCAGTGACTTTCTTGCTGTCGCCCGCAGGACCCTCCGCCGGCCAACACACACACAGAGAACGTCCGAGGGTACCCTCCTCGGGAAGCACAAGGAGCATCCAACAGACAAGAAGACTACTATGAAGGGGCCCCAGGACACACAAATAAATACACACAAATAAAAAGATCCCCCATATTTTCTGATATTTTCTGGGTTTTTGTCTTCCCCCCCACTTCCCACATTTTCCCATATTTTCCTGGGAATCGACGATTAATTGTGTCTGTGTGTTTTTTCCTCTCCTGAAGGGTACCCTCCCCAAGCCGACCCCGATCTTACAAGCACGACGTACGGCGGGTTCGTGTCGTGACGACCCCGGCGTTGGTCTCTGGCATCGCGTGGACCGTTCCACCTTGCACGATCGGCGGCTGTTCGATCGCCCGATCGTGTCATCTACACCCTGCGAAATGCTTTAGAAATCATGGGTTAAGAAATTCATAGTCTCGGAACTTGAATAAAACCCAGAACTTCTATCAAAATCTTGGGATTTACATTGAAACGTTAAGAATAATCGAGACTCTGGACGAAAACTTAGGTTTTCTTAAGCATCGCCTAAGGTGTAGGCCGAGTTTGGGCCACTGGCGGCGTTCAACCTTGAATGCCCACGGCGGGTTCGCCGCTGGTCGACACGACGCGAACCTGCCGTACCTCGGTCCGACTGTGCTCAGCACGCAGGCATGGGATCATCGGGATCGGCCTCTGTGGACCGGCCCGCCCCACACCTTCCTCTCCCTCTCCCTTTTACTCCCCGCGCCGTCCGCGCCCCGCGCGGCTGCCCTGGAGACCTCCGACGGCAGTGGCATCCACTTCGATCCTCTCGCCGATCCATCGCCCTCCTATACCTCCCCCTGTAGACTCCTTCCCTATTCGCACCTTCTCCTCCCCATCCTCGTCCTCCCGCTCTGTCTCCTCCTCCTCTTCCAGCTTCCCCTGATCTCCCCAGATCCAGTATTCCTTATCCCAATCAGCAAGATCGTCATGATTATTACCATCATCATCATCATCATCATCATCATCATCATCACCACCATCATCATCATCATCATCATCATCATCAGCATCAGCATCAGCATCAGCATCAGCATCAGCATCAGCATCAGCATCATCATCATCATCATCATCATCTTCACCACCACTACAACAACCACCATCATCATCATCACCGTCGTCGTCGTTGTCGTCATCCTCATCGTCATCATCATCGTCGCCGTCATCCTCATCCTCATCCTCGTCCTCTTCCTCGTCCTCGTCCTCGTCCTCATCCGCATCAGCATCACCATCATCGGTAGTATCATCATCAACAGCTTCATCATCGTCAGCATCGCCAACATCATCATCATCGCCAATACTATCATCATCTACTTTCTTCCTGACATCGCATCTCGTACTAGTCCGCACCGTTATCGTCAACATTACCATTATCAACAACATCGGCGACCGTGATGATGATTATGCTCCCCATCAGCCCCATCAACATCATCATCAACGCCATCGCCAGTATCATGAAACTTGACATTCTGCTATACTGTCTCTTATCCTTTATGCTATCATTTACTGTATCCCGTCTCCTCTGCCCCTCTTTTCCCCCTACGCTCCTCCGCTCTATTCCGTGCTCATCCCTCCTACCAAAGTGTCCTGAAGCCCAGGACTTCAAAAGGCCTCGGAGAGCCAAAATGCGGCTCTCTCCTGATCGCCTCGCACTTTCGTTTTAACAATTGCCAACAATCATACGGATGAAACCCGGTGACTCTGTTAATACCAAGATACCGCCTGAGTGCCGCTCACACCCGTCGCACAATCTTGTAATAGCTACACAAATGGAGGATGGTGCCTTTTCAATACTGAACTGTCGCAACCAGAGACAATCGGTTTCATCAATCTGTCTCTGAAGTTGTCTAACAGCTACATGGATGGAGGGCGCTTCTTTTTCAATCCCACCAGCCCTCTGGGCGTCGGTGGTTTAGGGAGTTCCCTCTTCCACCCCTCCTTCTTCCCTTTCGGGGAGGGGGTTACCCCTCCCCCATACCCCCTCCCCACCGATCTGGACAAAGGGTTAGGGCGTCCAAAACGGCCTCGGCGAGGAAGCCAAAACCATTGATTTTACAATGGTTTTGGCCCCATGTTGGCCTTCTGGGAGGGCGACTGTAATTCGTAACCCTCCTTCTTTGATCGATCTCCTCCGAGATGGCCCAAAGATGGCCCCCAAGGCTCCAAGGGTGCCCCAAGAGGACCCCAAGAGGTGGCCAGGGAGCCCCAAGAGGCCCCCAGGATGCCCCCAAGAGGCTCCCAAGAGACCCCCAAGAGGCCCCAAGAGACCCCCCAGAGGCACCCAAGATGCTCCAAGAGGCCTCGGCGAGAATGCCACATCATTGATTTTACGAAGAGGTTTTAGCCACATGTTGGCCTCTTGGGGGGGGGGGGGCACTGATTAAGATGACTCTAAGAGCGCCTGGGAAAGCCGAAAATGACCTTCAAGACGGTTCAAGATATCCCAAGATGTCTCATAATGGCTTCCTCTGTGTGCTGCCCACTTGCCTCATCGAGGCAATTCCTCTGGGCATCGTTTCTGGACGGGCTGGTGGGGATTCTTTTTTTGGTCGCGGCCGCTAGCGAAGAGCGCAGGCGGCGAAAGCAATTGTCCGGGGCTGCGAACAAGGCTAATTAGCTACACGACGCGCCGCAAGCCGGCCGGCCCACTCACCAAGCAGCAGCGGGGCTGTGCGGGAGGCTGACAGCTGAGGGCATCCAGGGAAGCTCAGGCACGTGCAGTCTGACAAAATGCAGAGAAATTCGGTGCATGCCGTGAGGCATAACCCACACAGATGACGTAGACGTGCACAGGTGCCGACGTGTCCATCATGCTGGGTGGGCGCACAGGCGCGAAGACCGACGGGCGAGTCGCCAGTGGGGCGCCAGGCCCAGGGCCGTCCCAACGGCATGTGCGGGCAAGGGGGGCTGAGCTGCCGAGGGACGTCGCAAACCTGCCTGAAGAGGGGGATGGGTCCAGGGTGCTGTTGCGACTGCAGCTGCCGAGGGACGTCGCAAACCCGCCTGAAGAGGGGGATGAGTCCAGGGTGCTGTTGCGACTGCAGAAGGCTAAACCACTCCGGCGCGACCACAGTACCCAAGGGGCCATCATCCAGCGCCCGAGGGAGGCCCGGACGTCAGTGGGCCGGCCCCCCCGACAACGGCACAGAGCCGACGCCAGATGGACTGTAGGAGAAAGCCAGGCAGGCGTGGTGAGCATCGCCAGCGAGGCAGGGGGATCCAGGGAGGGGCTGCACTGAGGGGTGGGGTGGGCCCGGAGGGCGGCCGAAACTGCGAAGGCTGAACCACTCGGAGCTGGCTGTACCTCCAGGGGCCGTGTGCGGCGTGAGGCCAAGCTGGTGGGGAAGAACATTGCCAGCAAGGTGGGGCGTCCAGGGTGAAGCTGCGCTGTCGCAGCCGCGCGGTGACGAAGGCCACCATGGGACGGCCTTGTCCGCCGCGTCCGCCATTCCCCGCGGGGATCCAGGGTCACCGTCGAATCCACCATACCACGTGGGCCTCCAGGGTCGCAGCTAACCGTCGCTGAAGGTGAAATAACGTTGCCACTGACAGCGCTGGTGGGGATTCGCGAAGCGTCAACAATTCGGAGGTCGTGCTTGAGACTTCCTTATGTGTTATGGCCAGGCGAGTAAGCGCGCACTCAACATTTACACCGATTGAGAGGGGCTCTTGTTCGAAGCGGTGCTCTTGGTGGACATATAATTGAACTTTCTGATCATACCCCCTCGCTGTCTTTCTAAATAGAAGCATCGGTGGGTACTCCTTCTCTAAGCGGGTTCCTCGTCTGACTTGCAAGCCCGTGGTAAGCTCTTATGCCAAGGAGGCACGTCCCACAATGAACAAGAATTCCTGTACGGGGCTATGAAAATGGGACTTGGGACGGGTAGGCATATTGCAGCGTCGTTGATGTTATATATTGGGTTTTCTCTAGTCCACCACCTCTCCCTCTTCCCCCGCCCTCCTCTACATTTCTCGTCTTCTCCCTCTTCCCGACGCCTTCTCCTGCCTCTCCTCCTCCCTCTTCCTCCCCGTTCCCGCATCCTCTAGAACAATAAAAACAACAATCATGCAAAGTTTCGAAGCTCCGCGCAGACTTCTCGCATCGGCGCTGGACCCCCTTCCATCGCGTGCTGCGCGGCGCCGCCATGAAGGTCCAGCGCCGATCCAACAAGTCCACGCGGCGCTCTGAAAGTTTGTGTTTATGCTGTATGTCTCATTCGACGTATCCTTGCTTCATCTTCTCGTCTCCTCCTCCTCCTCCGCGGGCAACCTTCTCCTCGCACTTCACCAGCAGCCGCTTGTCGCACAGCTGCTTCTCGTGCAGGAATTGAAGGGCGCGCCAGACCCCTTGTGGGTCCTCGAAGTCGCAGAAGCCGAACGACGTCAGCTTCGGGAGCCGCTCTTTGTGCAGAAGGAAAGAACTCGACACAAACACCAACTTTCGGAGGTCCGCGCGGATTTCTTGGATCGGCGCTGGGTAGCGCGCTGGGGGCGGCGGCAAAGGTGCCGCCAGAGGGATCCAGCACCGATTCAAGAGATCCGCACGGACCCCTCAAAGAGTTACGTATGCTAGTGCAAGCTGGGGGTCTTCGATTGTTTGCGCACCCCATGAGGGGATCTGCTGATCCGGGTCAATCCAAGCCCGTATCAGTCAGGCTTTGCAAGATCCTGCACGCTCTCGCAGGATCTTGCAGGATCCTGCACCCAAGCCCGGGTCACTGCGCACCTGGCTCTGCAGCATCCTGCAAGATTGAGTGCTCTGGCTGACCCCCGTGTTGGCGGCGCGCCCGGGGGGAAGAGAGAGGGGGCGGGCCTTCTCAGAAGGCTCAGAAGTCCCCCGGCCTCCTGAGAAATCTTCCACCCCCGAAAGCGCCAAAGCTTCTCAGAAGGCAGGAGGGCTTCTGCGAAGCCCCGCCTCCTTCTGAGAAGGCCTCCTCCTTCTCACTTCCCCCCCTCGCTCGCCGCCGATGCGTTGGCCCCCGTCTCGAGGCTCCCGACCCGTCTGGAGACAGCGAGCTGCCCGCTGCGGATCCGCAGGGTCGGCGTGGAGGGACGCGCGGAGCGGAGCGGAGCGGAGCGGAGCGGCGGGCAGACGCCCGTCCAGCGGGGCGGCTCCACTGTGCGCGGCGCGCAGGGAGAGGCCAAGAGATGCACCAGACGTCGAAGCGGCGAAGCGGCGAGGCGGCAGGCGGCACAGGGCAGAGGCGCCACGAGGGACGGAGGGGGGAGGAGGGGCGAGGGAGGGAGGAGCAGCGAGAGGCACGGCCTCCCGAGGGCCTCCTTCTCCTCCCCCTCCTCCTCCTCCTCCTCCTCCTCCTGCTCCTCCTCCTCCTCCTGCTCCTCCTCCTCCTCCTCCTCCTCCTCCTCCTGCTCCTGCTCCTGCTCCTGCTCCTCCTCCCCCTCCTCCTCCTCCTCCTCCTCCTCCTCCTCCTCCTCCCTCCTCCTCCTCCTCCTCTCTGCTCCTGCTCCTGCTCTCCTCCTCCTCCTCCCTCCTGCCGTTCCTCCCCCTCCTCCTCACCCTCCCGCCGTCCTGAGTGCGTCCCCTCCCTCCCTCCCGCTCCCCTCGCGCTCCTGCTCCTCCGTGCCCCCCTTCCCTGCCCGTCTTCCCGGCCCTCCGGACGGAGGTCTGGGCAAGCCCCCTCGGGGAGGGCCGGATGGCAGGACGACAAAGGGAAGACGAGGCTCGAGGCCCGTGGCCGCCCGTCGCCAGTTGGGTCAGAGGCTCGCTCTTGTTCCTCCTCCTCCTCCTCCTCCTTTTTCTTAGCCGAGCTCCTAGGCGGTCCTCCGCCTGTAGCGTCAGTGAGCGCCTGGCCTGGCGCCCCCTCCCCGAACATACGGGAGGCAGCCAAGCCAAGCACTCGATGGCAAGCCATGCACGTGCACAGTATGGAGGACACCCTCCTGGCAAGGCAGTCGCAACCTGGAGCTGGCGGGTACGCACAACGGACGGTAGCATCAACAACAAACCACACCCTTCGCCAGCTCCAGAATGCATCTCTCAAACGGGCTGCGCGCGAGAGAGGAAAAGCAAGGTGAGGAAGAACAATGCTGTGAAGAGGGAGAGGACAAGGCTCGCCCCTGGTGGCACGCCGCCAGGACGACGAGTGGGATCAACACGAGAGGCCACACGGCCCCCCCTTGGTCGGCCCCTCGATAGTCCACCTACTCCTTGGTAGCGCAGAACACGAGTAAGACCTTCGTACGCGAGGGGCCGCCAAGGGGGTGCCGATACGATTTCTCCACCTCCACCAGCCTCCAGTCCACGAAGAACCTCCACACCTCCTTCCAGGCGCCTCGAAACTCAGCGAAAAAGACCTTGAAATGAGGTCACCGAGCTCTCAGCAGAAACAGTGCCAGTCGAGCAAGTCATGGACTGTCATCCCTGCTCGGGTAGCCGACCTTCCAAGAACGAGACGTAGCGCTCCTGGTCGGAGGGCTGAGACGAGGGAGGGCGGCTGTGGGGCTCACCACCCACCGCCTCGTGCACCAAGCATTTGACCGCCAGAGGATTGGACGAGGGGACAAGACATCGAATCGATCGCCACCATCGCCATCAAGAGGGGGTAAGAACTCAAGTCGCCGCTGTCCGACAGGCCGCTGAAGCAGCCAGCACAGGGATGCTAGCGTGCGCCAGCGCCCGAGCAAGCACGCGCGAGAGACCTACTGGCCATTCACCAGTGCCGTCCTCAGAAACAGCTGCATGAGCATGATGATCACAACGATATCTGGAATAATGACCACTCAGCTCCAGCTCCAAGTACATGTGCGCAGTAATCAGCGTGACTGCACCAAGTGTAGAGGAGCCCATCATGCACAAATCAATACGACATTCTTCCAAATACTTCCCAATCGAAGAGGCAATCAAGTCTACGGCACCCATAATATTAGACAGCAAACCAGAGGGGGAAATAAAAGCCGCTGGCACCCCTGTGAACGATGCAGCCTCAAGCAACCTCCAACTTGATCGCAAGTAGTTGTTCTCGATTAAAACTGTCCGACGTGCATCTTCACCAAGCTGGGGTAGGCCCCAGGGATGGTCAACAGATCTTCGGGGGCGTGAAACACCAGGCTGCCCATCAAACTGAGTCCATGATGCCAACAACGGAGCCAGTACGATTGCCAGGACCCTGCCCTGACACATATCGTCCACAATCACATCTATTGACTTCTGAGCCAGGAGAGTGCGTTCGCCATCGTCACCAAATAAAGGAATACGCACCACTTGTACCGACTGACCCAAGAGCTGCTGTAACCAAGTGCATACGTCACTTGCCGTCACATCCCAACCACCAAGATAGTAGAACTTCATCGGGTAACAGCACGCGACTCTCAATCGCCTCAGAGGTGGGACTGGGGGCCGAACCTCAATCCTCACTGCTGGCGGTGAGACTGGGTAATACGGATCTCCTCGACCTCCACCATGTACAGTCCTCACCGCATGCTTGAAGACTCGTCGATAATTATAACCACGGTGTACCAAATCTCGTTCTCGAACTAAATCCTCTTGTCGCAACTGTTCTGCTTCAGCGGGCATCAACATGTCTCCGTTCAACTCGAGCCAACGAACACAGCGATTACCTGTTCGACGTAGATGGCGTAGGAGATTCGAGCGGTCCCCGAATCGTGTACCGCAGGCACCGCACTGCGTTCCACGAGCCACTCGTTGCGCAAGGTCTATCGGCTGGTGATCTAACTGATGTTTCCTCCAAGCACCCTTCGATATTGTACACCAACCACACTCGTAGCACACAAACTTGTCCTCGTGAGAGACCTGGGCGTCGATGCCAACACGAGCTCCACTCAGTAGTCGGACCCAACAGCATACCTGCAGCCGCTCCAGCTCCGACGATTCGAAGAGTCTCCACGCACGCTTGACTGCATTACGAAAATCCTTCGGATGCGACGATGCAAACTGGAACCAACGCGGAAGCGACCAATCGTGTCTTGAACCTTCCTTGTCGAAACTCGCCAACCATTCTAGATCAGACGTAACTAATGAGAGCCAGGAAACAGCCAGCGAAGCAACTTGATCAAGTAGACACCACAAGGCCTGGGGAGCCTGAGGTAGCAGTGATCCGAAGTAAACCAACCGCTTCTTCCGCATAAGATGCTCGAACCTTACCCTTCTGGCTGCCGAAAGTACCTCATCGTCGGTGAAACGCTTGGAGTGACCGCTGTGTAGTCGGCCCTGGACAGCCCGATATGCTTGCAATCGGTGTCCATCCAACTTGTGCAACAGCGTACTTGGAACATGTTCCCAAACCTCCACTAAGTACATCAGGTGGACGTTGGCCATCGTATCAACGAGGTTCGTCTTGGCGGGCAGTGACATGTGGCTGAACCTCGAGCACATTCGGCGGATAGGTCCGAGAGCAGAAACTTGCTTGCTGATAGAATGTGCGGCACGCGGCCCAAGAAGACCCCGGTGGTCGAGCATAGTGCCCAAGTACTTGTAGTTGCGTACCACCGAGACTTTGAGACCAAAGCGTGGCGATATAATCGATAAATTGTCACTGGCTTCCAACTTCTGTCGCAAATCAGTATCATGTTGTGGTCCAGGAATGATAAATAATGCCGACTTCGCGCGCTTGTAATTGACTGTGAAGCCGTGCGTAAGCATTGCTTCGTGAACACAATCAACCATGTCGCCCGCCAGGTCCAACGGGTTGATCGAAGGAGGTGGCGCTTGCAAGTATAACGCATCATCTACAAAGGAAATATCAACAAGGTCATCTGCTTCAACTTGTCTCGAAAGCACTGGCTCTATGCCCAAGGGTCGCAACTTCAGTGAGGCCCCAAGTCGTCTAAGCGCCTGATCGACTACCTTGAGAGGGCGACAGAAAGCAGCATTGAAAATCGCGTCGGCCAGTGACGATCCTGGTCGAGAACCACGCCGAGATCTCGCCACTAACTGCAAGCTGTCCGTGCCAAAGTGTGTGTCACGGTGGCCTTCTACCAACAGCGCGAGCATGTGCGGAGAAGCCCCTAAACCTTCCAAAGCACCAGGTTGGTGCAGTATGAAGGAGAAGAGCGGGGCCATGCTGATAGGAAGCTCGTGATTGTGCTCAACGAAATCGATGTCCCCGTCCACGTCGTCCCCCAGCGGAAGTACCAAGCTGCGGACAACCGAATAGAACGCAGCCGTCAGATCCACAAAGTATAGCACCGCTCCACAGCCCTGCTGCCGCGCTGCCTTCAAGAAGGTCGAAGCCGTCTGCACCAGGACAGAAGGGCCCCGCCTAGGCCTTCCTCCACACTGAGTCTCGCGAAGCAAGGTATCCATATACACACTGACCTGTGACCTCAAAAACCGATGCCAGCATTTGCTGACTGTGCTGTTGAGAAGAATACTGCGATAGAACTCGAGTGACGCGAAGTTGCCCGATC